CAAAATCCAACGTATATTGGTTTATTATAAGTAACTAGTATTTTTTTCATTTGAATAGCGACTAAGTTTTCTGAGAAAATTGTTAAGTCCTTGAAATATGGCTTTGCTATCAAATTTTCAGCTCCATCTTTTCTTTTATTTTTTTCCCATTCGGTAACAAGTCTTACATCGACTCTCCTATCCACATTTTCCATTGTTTTTCCCAAGTCCATATTGTAGACATTGTTTTAATAATTGGTAATGAGTTACATATTTTGACTTATTGTTTAAATTTGGTATTAATTTTGTAGATTTTGAATTAGGTGGTTTATAATTTTCAGGGCCAAAAGGAAAATCATGAGTGTCGTGGAGACTTTCAGGATATTCCAGATCAACTTCTAGAACATATTCTTTGCTAGATGTATTAGAAATTGAAAAAATATCTAGATTTTTTATTTCTTTTTCGGTTAACCACAAAATCACCTGTTGGCAAATATTGGAACATAGCACAACCGTATAAATTTGTTGCATCATAGTACATTATATATTTATTAGGTTTTGTTGCATCAAAATTTGATAGAAAAGGATTGTTTGCCTCTGATTTCCGTGTTATGCATGAGCTTACCCCACCACGAACGCTATTTTTGAAAAAATGCAATATATCCGGATCTGTTAATAATTCCAGTTCTATGCCTGTATAGCGTAAACAAGCTTCCCATGATAAGCCGGGAAATGTGTAAAAGTGTGCAGGGTCTAGTTTATATGTAGACAAGCATGTTTTTCGAAAATTTTCGAAAATATCAGCTAAAAGTAAAGTATCTGATAGCAAATATATATCTGAATAATGTCCTATACTTTCACATTCGAAAAGATCCCAAACTTTATTTTTAGAGCTCTTTGGTATTCCTCGTCGGAAATATGTTCATCTGTTAAACTGTTAAAAAACTGATCTTTTTTAGGTAAAGCAGTTTTCTCTAATTTTTCAAAACTGTCAATATAACTATATGGAAATACACCTAGGTACCTACACGAATAAGTTTAAATTGTTCCTCATCTTCGAAAATCTTTTTTATTTCTTTACATTGTTCATCTTTCAAAGTATCTGCTAAATTAGATAAAGAAAATGATAAGAATTGGAAGGAGTCGCTAAATCTCAATGATAAATTTCTTTTTTTTTAATTTTTTGTATGTTTATCAAAATAATTATCTATGAGAATGTGTTTTTCAAAAGAAATATATTTCTCTTTATTTTGGGCAATTACTAATAGTTGTTCTTTATTTGAACACAGTCTTTATAAATAGGCGACTGTCGTAATTACGTAAGTTGTGCATTATAACTGGAATAAAATTAGGAATTTTAAAGTTTATATTACATAAAGAGTGAGCCGGCCCTCTATAGTTGCCTGTAATGTGACAATGATCGGCAACTTTATCCCCTAAAAGCGATTTTTCACAAATATGACAGTTTGTGGCATTATTATTTGTAGTTTGTTCTAATTCGGATAGAGTATTCATTTTTTAGGGGTTTTTAGAAAAGTGTGATATAAATTTAATCCATCTTGTTCTAGAGAATTTATAAAAACTTTTTCGCTATTCAAACCTCTATATTTTTCAAACTTAGAATATTCATCATCAAATGAACATTTGATGTAATACGCACAAGATTATGGAATATGTTCAATTTTTTTAATATATATTGTTAGAAATATGATTATATAAACAAAATTGATTTATTTTTGGGAAGGGTAAGCACGGACCGCTGTCGGTCGCGCCAGTGTGATGAGACACTTCAGTACGCTCGTTTCAATGCTGTCTGTGTTTATTAAAGTTTCCTGACGTATTATTTGTGATTTATAGTTAATTAAATGTGTTGAATTATAGTATATTGGAAAGGTTCTGTGTTTGTATTATTTAATTGCTAAAATCAGAAGTGGGATAGAACTTACACCACAATAAGCTTTTGAGTGGCATGATGAAACGTGGAGGATGCATTGGAATAAGATAAGTACAAATTTCTAATTAGGTTTACAAATTGAAAGTGTTGGTTGATGTTTGTGGCTTTGGAAAAGTACGAAAAGTTAATAGTTCAGTTAATCAGTTGAGTATAATAAAGTAAATTTTTAAAGAAAATGAGTCACGGTGTCATGTCGCAAAACTCAGAAGCATTGCCGCATTTAGATTGAGCATTGCAGTGTTTATATTAAGCAGTTGGAACATTTAGCAGTTTTAGAGCCTAAACAGATAGCCTGTATAAAGTTAGGGAGGGAAATATTACAGTGATTGTTATTAAAACAAGTATTTTCTGCATTATTTCATAGCGATTTAAGTTTAATTAAGTTTTTATGGTCTGAAATTGTCTGAATAAGTTTTAATGATTTGTTTATTACTGGTAAATACATTGGTACAGAATGGTTGGTTTAAAATATTAGCCACACCGATTAAATTTTAATTCTGAATAAGTTTTTTTAACAAATAGCAATACAGGAAGTTTTTGTCAAAAAAAATATTGATCGGTATTTATTCAGGCGAAGTGATAAATATAGTTGCTTTTGTTTGCAAGGCTGCTGTTGTTTTTTACTTATTTCTTGCAGGTTAAAATAGTTTTGTTGTTTTGGCTAAATTTGTCATTATGTCATACATGCGATATTTTGTTATTGGGTCATTCTCAGCAAGCGTTATGTTTTTATTTTATTAAAATATTAGGAAAATTAAACATTCTAACTGAACTTATTAATTATTACTCGTAAATAGTAATATTATTCAGTTGCATTTGTTATGTTTGTTTCTATTTTTCTCAATTTGTTTTATTCAAAATGCAAAAAATTGAGAGTTTATTTTATCTGTGGTTTTAAGCAGGGGATTTCAACTAACTAATTTTAAAACGCAAATTATTAATAGATGAGATGCATTACTGAGATGGCACTTATTTTTTGTATATGTGTTGAACTAGTTTTGTTTATTAGTCATTGTCTACTTAAGTTTTGGTATGTGTTGCAGAAATATAAAAAAATGATGATAAAATATTAATTATAATTAGTTAATGTAGATATCAGAATACGAATGGCACGTGTTATAAATGAATGTGTTGAAAGCATGGACGCTTTGCACTGTGAGTAATGTGTGAGTGTGTGAGTGCTGTTAGTAATGTAATAATTTAGTAATGTTTTAGTAATATTTAGGTGTTGAAAGCATGGACGCTTTGCACTGTTGTAGTATTTGACTGTTGAAAGCATGGATGCTTTGCACTGTTGTAGAGTGTTGAAAGCATGGACGCTTTGCACTGTTGTAGTATTTGAGTGTTGAAAGCATGGACGCTTTGCACTGTTGTAGCGTGTTGAAAGCATTGACGCTTTGCACTGTTGTAGTATTTGAGTGTTGAAAGCACGGACGCTTTGCACTGTTTTAGAGTGTTGAAAGCATGGACGCTTTGCACTGTTGTAAAGTGTTGAAAGCATGGACGCTTTGCACTGTTGTAGAGTGTTGAAAGCATGGACGCTTTGCACTGTGGTAGAGTGTTGAAAGCATGGACGCTTTGCACTGATGTAGTATTTGAGTGTTGAAAGCATGGACGCTTTGCACTGTTGTAGAATGTTGAAAGCATGGACGCTTTGCACTGATGTAGTATTTGAGTGTTGAAAGCATGGACGCTTTGCACTGTGGTAGAGTGTTGAAAGCATGGACGCTTTGCATTGTTGTAGAGTGTTGAAAGCATGGACGCTTTGCACTGTGGTAGAGTGTTGAAAGCATGGAAGCTTTGCACTGTTGTAGAGTGTTGAAAGCATGGACGCTTTGCACTGTGGTAGAGTGTTGAAAGCATGGACGCTTTGCACTGTTGTAGTATTTGAGTGTTGAAAGCATGGACGCTTTGCACTGTTGTAGAGTGTTGAAAGCATGGACGCTTTGCTCTGATGTAGTATTTGGGTGTTGAAAGCATGGACGCTTTGCACTGTGGTAGTATTTGAGTGTTGAAAGCATTGACGCTTTGCACTGTTTTAGTATTTGAGTGTTGAAAGCATGGAGGCTTTGCACTGTTGTTATATTTGACTGTTGAAAGAATGGACGCTTTGCACTGTTGTTTAAATGTTGAAGTAACATGTAACATATAAGTATGTAACATATAAGATTGAAAAAAATATATTTCTGAGAATATAATGAATGAGTATTGAAAGTCTGGAACGTTATAAGTGAATTGATTAGCTAATAGAGTAGTAGCTGGATTCGTTATAAAGAAACCTCTCTAATTAAGATACCAATTCCTATAAGAACAACTGACTACTCAGAATATCACCTTTGGTGGCTAGCAATGAAGAATTCCTTCCTGATATTCAACAGCCGATTCCGAATAGAATGACTTCGGGAGCGAAGTCCGTGTCAAAATTGGCCGTGTTAGAAATATGATTATATAAACAAAATTGATTTATTTTTGGGAAGGTAAGCACGGACCGCTGTCGGTCGCGCCAGTGTGATGAGACACTTCAACACGCTCGTTTCAATGCTGTCTGTGTTTATTAAAGTTTCCTGACGTATTATTTGTGATTTATAGTTAATTAAATGTGTTGAATTGTAGTGTATTGGAAAGGTTCTTTGTTTTTATTACTTAATTGCTAAAAATATGAATTATTTGGATTTTCTACATCATAATTCTCATTCAAAGGTTTTAAAATACATTCAAAATCTGCATATACTATAAAAGGAACTTTCATTTGCTTTTGATAATTAACATATTTTAATGTGTTTTTATATGCTACATTTCCATATTTGTCTTGAAATAATTCTTTAGAAGGTAAACTAATTCTAACATGATCACAATCATAACTGTTATGATACTGTAATTTTTGTTCTGTGTCAAAGTATTGAAGACTTCCTTCACACAAATATTTTCTTCCATTGTGTTTACTTAGTTGTTTAGAAATTAATTTAGAAAGATTGGAAACGTAGCAATAATGAAAATTTCCATCATCATTTATTAATAATAAATTAACATGAATATTTTTTTATCACTAGAAAAATGTAGGGGACCAATTATTTCATATTCTTCATTATTAGAAATTTTATTATAATATTTTTCTAAACCGTACACATTGATAGAAATATTGTTTTGATTTTCAACATTTTTAATGTCTTAAGGTTATTGGAAAATCAATACCTGTAGTGTTCAAAACTGTTGAATAGTGTGGGTTTGATGATGTTTGAAAATCAACACCTGTTGGAGGATGAAGGGCTGCAACTACGTACCATGCGAAGCAGTAGTCATCGTTATTTCTTATGTTGACGACAGCTTGACGTTGTGTTATTTCGGGAGGAAGTTGAATAAACGATGACGCTCTCAAAGGATTGAATTTGTTGATGTTTATCTCCAAAAAAAGAAGATTTAGTAAAATCCATCCTGAAACAAAAAATAAAATTAATGCATTATGTTACATTTATATTAAAAATATAACACTTACCAGAGTCCTTTTCTGCGAATTCATCAGCCTTGTTGTCAATAATTGTTAAAAAATCTTCTACTAAGTCCTTTGTTGCACTGCTGTTACAAATTACTTAATGGCGTGTTGAACTTACGTACTGGGGTTATAATAATAACCAAAAAGTTCCATATTGATTTTAATACAAGTATGTTTTTTCAATTGATTGTCAAACACCCGTAGAACCTTTTGTTCCAATATATTAAAATAGTTTTTAACATTTAAAATATTTTCTTCGGTAGATAATCTGTATGATATTATCCTTTCCTTGAAATCTGATTTTATTACTTGAATTCCCTTTTCCTCCAACGTTTTACAGTTGTTTTTGTGACTGTTTGAACGCAGATGACCAACCCATAAATTTTGTAAAATATGTTCTTTACATTCTGAACAATATTTTTCTATAAATGAAATTATTTTGTTAGTTTATAAAATTATACAATGGGAATGTCATACTTTATTCTTCAGCTGCTGACTTTTTGCACGCATTCTTTAAGTGACGAATTAAATTGTCTTTACGACTGAACGATTTTTGACAAGATGAACATGTGAACATCTTTCGATTTAATTCTGTTAATATAAGATTATGTTGTATATTTCAATATTTGAAAGGTTATGAATAAAATTTGGAAAGAAGAAGGTATAAATATATTTTTCAATTTAATTAAAAAAAGAAATGAAAAAAAATGTAAATATTTAATTAAATGAATCCACTAACGTATCAAAACATTGTTTTAAACGTTCTATTCCTGCAGCATTTTCTTCATTAACAGTAATTTTTTCAACAGCATTTTGAAGCGCTTAACCTAAAGTTTTTAATTTTGAATACGGTTTTAGATATTTTCTTAATGTTTTAGTTTTTTTAGTTATTATAAAAGATGGTTTTGGATACGAAATTTGAATTTGTGATGGTTCATTTTCTTCGGGACTAAAATTTTCGATAAATGGTGACAAAGGGGAAAATGCTGATGAAATAGGGGAAATATTTCTATTATATTCAGGATTACTTTTTTGTGAACAACAAATCAATTCTTCGTCATCAGAATCATTAACAGGCAGGGTTATTAAATTATTTTTTAAATTATCTTTTGAACTGGCTAACGAAGAAGCTACACTATCATCTAAATTTTTTTCCTTAGAAGGCCATGTTAATAATTCATCACATTTTATCACAGAATCATTTTTGTTATCGGTATTGTCAACGATTATTTGTGTGTGTTAAAAATCGTCTGTTATCACGTCCTCACTGTTGTCAAATTCGTTTATAAATTTATTTAGTTCGTTATTTATGTCGATGTCGATGTCTGTAGTAATGTCCAATTTTGTGTCAATAGAAGTTGATTCTGTATTTAAAATAACACGAGGATTTGAAAAGTTTTTGAAGGCAACAACTTGCAATAAATTAATTTTGTGATCCATTTTAAAAAAATATTCACCTGTAAACAGTTCGAAACAAAGTCAAACACAAAAGCACAAATTTGGTCACACGAACACCTTGCACGTTTGAAATATTGTTGCAGTCTGCGGTAAAAGCAGGTTCTTATATAGTAGGTTCGTCTCCCTTCGCTTTAACCTTGAACTCAGATTCTTCCATCTTAGGTTAATGATTCCCCCCCCCCTCACCCCAGAAAGTTCATTGACCTTTGGAGTGGAAAAACTGGTTCTCAAGGTTAAGGTTTTCTTATAAATGGATAAGTTTAATATAGAATATAACAAGAATAAAACTTGAAGTGTAGTGCTGAAGTACTGTTTAAAGTTTAGTAGTGTGTGAATTTTTTTGATTTAAAGGAGAAAATGGATCTATTCCAAAGACTCTACGAATTCTTCTGGAATCGACAGCATCCAGAAGAAACGGTGGAAAAAAGACTGAACATTATGAAACAAAGAGACATCAATAATGCTGAATGTTTAGACTTTGAAGATGTGCAAGATGAAAGCGACGAAGGATTCGAAGATAATGATAGGTCGGATTCGTACATATCCAATAGGGAAAATTATATTAGAGTTTCTGAATACCGACAATCATTGGAATCCGCAGTTTTTTGTGTCCATAAACACTATGTGTTAATGATGATGCAGTATGAAAACAATATGCTTCGAGCTGTGAAATTGTGTGGGGAATGTTACTATCGTCACCAGTTGCAGGTTCCGTATGGGTCACATAAACATGTAACCTCACATTTCACCACGAGACTACCACCAGAAAATGTAAATTCGCATAATGCTGGTGGTAGATGTATGGTGTGTAACCATAACTTATATATTTTAATGCATCCTAATTGTTGCTATATTTGCAATGGGAAGAATTTTTCAACGGAAATATAGTAACATAAAGGATGCATTATTTTATTTTTAGTGTAATTTAGCGTTAATAAATTAGTATTTTATTTTATATTTATATACTATACTATATATACTATGTATCTATATACTTGAGTGTGTATAAAATTTTCTTTAAAATTATATATTTTAGTTTAGTGATTAGGTTATAAAATCTGCTAAGTTATTTATATTGTAATTTTATATAATGGTTTAACATTTGTAATAAGTTTTTTTATTTATTAATATGTGGTAATTTAGAACTGAATATGTTAATACTTTACAGTTACAAATTAACCGTTTGTCTTATATGCAATACAAAAAATTTCATTCAGAAACAAATTTATAAGTAGATACTTCAGGGTATGTAGGTATATTCAAAGACTATTTTGGTTTTATAAACAATGTTTAATTGAAATTATATATTTTAGTTTAGTGATTAGGTTATAAAATCACTTATATATTACACTTTTGTTAAACTAAAACTTAATAAATTAAAATATACCTTATTCAGAATATATTTTGAATAAAAACATAAGCAGCATTTTCTTTTTTTAGAAATTAAATCCTCTTTTTAATGTGATTGTAAAATGGTGTCTAATTACATGTTCTTGCATCTGCACCAAATATGTATAACTTGAACAACACATTGGACATTTCATCCTTAAACCACATTGTACATCATTCCATTTCAATATACAAATTAGACAAAAAAAATATGAACACGTATTTGGCACACAGCTTTCATAAAAATCGATCATTTCATAACAAATAGCACAAAGCACTTTCATACTTTCTTGCACATTTTCATTTTTATTCACATTTTTTAAGGGAGTTAAACTATCTACTTCTTCCCTAGGAGGAGAGTCTAATACACTAAAAACAGATTGATTTGTTTGTTGAGATTGTAATTGCAAAGTATTTTCTTGAACAGATTCGCTCATTTGCAAAAGGTGTTCTCGATGTTAGTTATGTTCAAACTAAATATGATCTGACTTATAAGAAAAATTGAAAATAAATATAGTGGGGACACAAGGGAGTGGGGAGATATAAGTGTATCTGAGCAGTATTGGAAGGGGAGGAGGTGGAAATGAGAAGGAGGTAGAAATGAGGAGGAGGGTCTCTCATATATTACCTACTTTTTCATAATCGATTGTAGATTGATTTACAATCAGTCTCTAACCAATCTACGAAAACTTTATGTGCATCAGGCCCTCTAAAAGTCTTGAAAATCGACTGAGAATTATCAAAATCGCATTTAATGTAATAGGTAAAAGAATAAGGTGTGTTTTCACCGTGTAGGAAATTTCAGCTCGTTTTGCTCTGTTTGTATAGGTTCCAAAATAGTTTCAAAATCAGCGTATACAACAAAGGGTACTTTTAATTTTCGTTCGAAATATTTTCACCATATTTATTTTTCTTTAAATTATCCGAAGAAGTTTCAACTATAACATGACCACAATCATATTTTTGATGATTTTCGAATTTAATATCTGAAGAAAAATAAACCAAGCAACCATCGCATAAGAATTTTGAATGTTGTTTGCCTGAAAGTTGGTTGGAGATCAGGCGAGACATATTTCTTATTAAACAGTAATGATTATTGCCAGAATCATCGCTGATTAATAACAAATTAACATGTCTATCTACCTTATGAGATCTAGTAAAATACTAAGGACCTACAACTTCAACAATATTCCTATCGTGTTTATAAACCTTCTCGAGCCCATAAACATTAATAGAAATATTATTGAGTTGTTCGAATTTTGAAATTTGTTTTAAAGATATCTGAAAATCTATACCTCTCACATCCAATTCCTGTTCAAAAGGTTGATAATTCTGAACTCTGTTGGCATGTTGAGTCCAATGAATTGGGTGAAAGGCAGCTAAAACCGACCATACAAAACATTTCTGGTCAGTGTTTCGTATGTTCAACACAGCCTTTTTCGCTTCTATTTCCTTCGGTAATGGTATGTAGGATGAGGCTTTTAGTGGGTTGGTTTTATTTTCCCTTACATCTACGTGGAGAAGTTGCTGAAGAGTCCAACCTAAACACCAAAAAATAATTAGTATGGTGAAAATCAGAAAAAATTATATATTTACCACTATCTTTTTCATTAAATTCCTGGAATCTCCGCTTAATGATAGTGGTGAACTGTCCAAACAACTCCTCCAAATCAGTACCCCGACTTACTCCCCTGAATCGACAGCTGAATAACTTGGTCTCGTCCACTTTTTTTATAGGCAGGAGGAAACGACCAAAAAGCTCCATACCGACTTTTACATTACCAAACCTTTCGATTTGGCACCTTACCAGCGAAATGATTTTTCCGCGGAGATTATTCAAAAAATCATTAACGCTGGTAATGTTTTTATTTGATAAAAGCCGGTATGTAGCAATTCGGTTTTTGTATGACGTTTTTACTAGGTAAACATCCTCCTGCATTATCAAGTGTTCTAAATATATATATATATATATATATATATATATATATATATATATATATATATATATATATATATATATATATATATATATATATATATATATATATATATATATATATATATATATATATATATATATATATATATATAGAAAATAAGCTAAGCTTTAGGCTCCCGTTTGCTCAAAGGAGTATTCTCAAAGGAGAAAATAAAAGTATTTTCCATCTTTTATTTTCGTTTCTTCATCAATTTTTTTTCCATTTCCTTGGTTCTACACGGTGCCTCGTTGCATCGTTTGCTTCCTGGTTTTTTGTGTTTTGGGATCCGTTTCATCGCTTAAATTAACATCCTCCTGCATTATCAAAGTGTTCTAAATATATATATATATATATATATATATATATATATATATATATATATATATATATATATATATATATATATATATATATATATATATATATATATATATATATATATATTATATATATATATATATATATATATATATATATATATATATATATATATATATATATATATATATATATATATATATATATATATAGAAAATAAGCTAAGCTTTAGGCTCCCGTTTGCTCAAAGGAGTATTTCAAAGGAGAAAATAAAAGTATTTTCCATCTTTTATTTTCGTTTCTTCATCAATTTTTTTTCCATTTCCTTGGTTCTACACGGTGCCTCGTTGCATCGTTTGCTTCCTGGTTTTTTGTGTTTTGGGATCCGTTTCATCGCTTCCTGGTTCCTTACCGTACTGATGAAGCCTGATGG